ACTGGTCACCCTCTGTGCTTTGCACTTTCCTGTCCTGCACCATGGCCGAGCCAATCGCATTCATCAGTAATCCTCTCTCCAATCCCACCCACCGTGGAGGGCCTAGGCCAGACGCCACTGCTCCAGAAAACTTCCTTCCACCCGAATGTGACTTTGCCCTCTCCTGCAAACTCCTTGGACACCTATGTGGCCAAGTGTTTCCACCATGAAGGCACCTCTCCACAATCCCAGGCCATGGGGGGCCGCAATAAGGTCATCCCCATCCTTGGCTACACTAAGAGTCCAGCACTCAGTAGTATCTTTTCACTAAATACCAGCTGCTTGAACAAGTAAGAGAGCGGAGGAATGAAAAAAATGAAGGAAAAGGTCAGAAACCAGAGAACAGTAGGGCTTCACAGGACTGCTATCCTAGATGAGGAAAGTATAGAATGGGTTGGTAATTGTGAAAGCCATGGCAAGCCTTTCAATATAGAGACAAGGGCTCATAGAGGCCTCCCCATGGCTTAGGCCTGTGCCTGTGCCATTCAGGTATAAAGAGGTCAGCCACCGCTCCTTCCTTCAGCATGGATCATGCCCACGAGTAGGAAGAACTGGAACCTCACCCACCTGGTCAGGGTATCCCTGCAGAGAAGGGCCAGGTCAACACATTTCCCTGACTCACAAGCTCAGGCGCCATCTGCTGGCCACCATCAGCACTGCACCTGGACCACAGCCCCAAGGAAGGTCAAGAGACCAAGGCTGAGACCATCCCCAACCCCACCAGACCCAGGTCCCTTTGGGGCAACAGAAATGACCCCAGCTCCTAGAGTCTGGGCTTCTGATTGCGTTCCAGAACTTTTCCTTCATGGTATACACCTAACATTCAATATGAAAGGGAAAAGAACATTTATTTCTGGTAATACTAGCTGAGAAACTTCCAAGACACATACACACGCGTGCGCGCGCTCACACATACCATAGAAAATTGCTTTTCTTTCTGCCAAAAAAAAAGCTCTATTATGTAGGGGACAGACTGCTGACCTGGGAATCAGCAGACTAAGGTCCTGTACTGTGGCTTGTCATGGTCCCTCCCCCTGCTGTGTGGCCCCAGCACACTCCCTGGCTAAGCAAACCCTATGTGAGGGCGATGCCCTTCACTTGTCCTCACCTCGACACTGACATTGCCAGACGAGGCCCAGAGATCTGCACTGACCCAGGACCACAGGGAACAGAAGTACTAAACCTCCATCTCTTCCTTCCTCCCCTGCTGGGACACATTCAGGCCAGTCCCATAGGCCTGGACGTGAGTGGCCTGAGGGCCCCAGGGATCCTCCCAGGCCCCAGTTGAAGGGAAGAGCCCCTAAGAGGCACCAGTTGGGCTGAACACACCGTCCTCGAGCTCCTCTCTGCAGACTGAGGGTCAGGAGTATACACTGTTTGAGCTGAGGTAATATCATCTCATGGCCTGTCCAAGGGCCAGGGCCTGGGAAGAAAGTGACACCTGACAGCGCCTTTACTCACTCCTGACACCAGCGACAAACGGCTTTCTGTGGAAGGTCCCACGGCCCAGAACTGGGAACCCCACTCAGAATTCCACCTGGGGATGTGGGCTGCTCCCTGAGAAGAGTCGTGGGAGGGCTGGAGGAGGAGGGAAGGCAATGTGAGTGACTTCCTCCGCCCTCACACCCCCACACTCACCTGCCCTGTTTCCCACGCAGCCCCTTTCCCCTCCCTCCACCCACAGCCTGAGAAAGTGAGTCACAGGGAACAAATGCCTTCGTTTTCCCAGGAGGAGGGGGAGCAGAGGGGGGTACTGACTGGGTGCCTGGGAGGCCTGGTAGGAAGCCAGAGGTTTCTGAGCTTCTCAGCTGTAAGGAGTGCCCTCATAGAACCATGTCCTTGACATGAGGGGTGCCCTCACAGAACTATGACCTTGACATAGGAGTGCCCTCACAGAACTATGACCTTGACATAGGAGTGCCCTCACAGAACTATGACCTTGACATGAGGGGTATCCTCAGAGAACTGTGACCCTGACATAAGGGGCACCCCCACAGAACCATGTACTTGGCATAAGGAACATCCTCACAGAACTGTGACCTTGACATGAAGGATGCTCTCAGAAAACTGTGGCCTTGGCCAGAAGGATGCCCTCAGAACTGTGATCTTGACATGAGGGATGCCCCCACAGAACTGTGACATTGACATCAGCCTCCCTTTCTCAGAGAGCTCAAGATGCACTGTGGGGCAGAAGCTGCGTGGCCACCATGTTTGGAGTTACTTGGCCAGGGTAGGGGTGGAGGGACAAAGAGAGGCCCTGAAGACACAGGTGACATCTTCCAACTCCAAATGTCCCTCATCAGCCAAGTGGGCTCAGCATGACTGCTGACACTCCGACCTTCCCACTTCGCCCCACCTGGTCAGTATGCTGCCCTGCTCTGGCCAAATGCCTCCCCAGCTTTCCCAACAAGTCTGCCTGCATCTCCTGCTGCCCTCCCATTCCTCATACCCACCCTCTTCGGGCTGCCACCAGCCAGCAATGATGCACTCCACTGTTATTACAGTGACTTAATGAGGTTTAATTTGGAGGTAAATTTCATGCTACTAGAAGAAAAGGCCAACAACCTTGGCAAGAAGCAAAGCCAGGCAAAGGCCAGTAGAATGCTGATCTTATTCACTCTGCCCAGGGTCCCTCCATCCCAACCCCACTCCTCCTAGTTCACAGACTGCACCCTACGCTAGCCCTAAAAACTGGGTCTGCATTTCACTCACTCTCTCTTACTTTGAAGAAAGTGTTCCTCAATGGCAAGGGAGACGCAGAGGTGTCTATGCTTACCTCCGGTGAGATTCAGTACCCCTCCAGTCAGGCTGCTACCAAGGAGTAAGCCATCTTTGCCTGGGTGCTGGGCACCTGGTCCCAGATCCACATTAAGTAGCCAACAGTCAGCGCCAGCTCTATGCAGATCCGCTAAAAAGGGAATAGCTGGTCAAGCCTCTGCCCCTACTGAGCCCTGCCCTGTGCAGCCTAAGGAAGCTACACTCATTTATCCCCTGGCTCCTTAAACACACACTGGACAACTAGTACAAACCTCAACACTGTGGCACTACAGATACGGAGTGGAGGACTATCATGGTCGCTATCCTCAAAGGTTTTATGACTTCAACAGAACCACCTAGATGCAGCCAACCTACTCAAGAGGATGGAGCAAAGTCCTGCAGAGCCTAACAGAGGGTTACAATGGGCCTAGGGAGGGTCAGGAAGGACTGAGGACAGTATGAAGTTTAGCCTGGAAACCCAGCACCTAGCACCTGCCTGGCATTTGCCAGGTGGGATAGATGGAGGAATGGCCTGGAATCATTGGGCAGATAGAGAGTGGAGATAAGCATCCAGGCAGACAGTGGACATGGGCTAAGGGCCCAGATAAGTAGCACAATGTGACCAGAGCACAGGAAAACAGCGATGATGACGACACTGCATCTGCTCCACCCTGGCACTATGCTAAGCACTTCATGCTCGTTATCCCCTCCGTTCCTTACAACAGGCACTATGGTTACCCCCACTTTATAGACAAGGAAAATGAGATGCCAAGAGGATAATTAGTGCAAGGCCTGAGCCCCTGGCTCCAGAACCCAAACTCTAGCCACAAGGCCACCAAGTTATAGCATGAAAAGGGCAGGTAAAAACTTTGAAAGCCCTGCTAACGATTTTAAGAATAATTGGGTGCTGACCTGTGACATGGTGGTTAAGGTGGCTGGAGCCCACATGGCTGACTGTGTGGCTCAAGTCCCAGACCTGGTGGCTTGAAAAACACGCCTGGCATGTGTGCATGCATGCCCAAAATCCCAAAAGGAGGAAGAATTAGAGAAGGGAATGCAACTGACCATGTCGCATGTGGAGTGCTTTCTCCATCCCTTTCTCCCGGTGAACACATGGCAAAAATTAAAAAAAAAAAATAAAATAAAATAAAAAAGGCAATTAAGAAGCATAAAATGTCATAAACTAATCTCAGGAAAGGCATCGGCTACTAAAGTCTTGACTTTACAATTACTTTGCTCAAAAAATTCAAGAAGACACAAAAGTTTCTCTATGAGGAGAATTCCAGTAACAAGTGAGGGGAAGAGGAGGTAGGGTTTTTAGTAGAGATCTCTGAGGTCCAACTACAGCATGCTGCTTCTGAGGCTGGGGGCCTGACCCACTGCCTCAAGCCCACCCCATCTCCAGAGGCATGGTGACCAGGATAGGTCAGGGAGGGTCTACAAATGCCCAGTTTGGACATAAAATACCATCCTGCAGGTCACTGGCATGAGCCCAAAGGAGTGTGACCAGTACTACTGCACAGAAGGGTCCACAGCTCCTGTCTCTGTCACTCCAGGGGCAGACTGAAGAGGAGAAAAGCTAGATTTGAAGAGACAGCTTGCACCCCACCTGAAGTAGCACTTCTTACAATCACAGGTGACTAAAAATAGACCAGGCCACCCTGGGCAGCAGATCAGAGAGTACGCTTCCTATCGCTGGAGGTAATCAAGCATAGGCTGAATGACTGCCTACCAGAGACATCCTGGAGTGGCCAACGCATGGAATTATTCGGACAGCTTATGGGTAGCACTGGAGAGCCAGAGGCTGGACACCCTTATTAACAGTGCCCTGGAACATTTCACCTTACCGCAAGAAGCCTCCTTCCTTCACTGAAAATGAGGGTAACAACAGTACCTACCTCACTGGTTTGCTGCAACGATTAAGTGTGACAATGCATTGAACAGCACAGTGTCAGCATGCAATAAACCCTCAGTAATTGATAGATATTACTAGGTTGAATCATATGAGTCATCTTAGGTTACAGGTCAAAACCACTGAATATGGGCAATTTCGTATAATCCAATTAAATTTTTTTGTACTGAGAGCTATTGACAGTTGCTACGATGTTTGGCTCTGTGTCTATGGTGGACCCCTAGCTCCTGGGCCCAGGATCTCTTCAGTAGCACACCGTCCCGGGGCCCATCCCCCCAGCGGAAGTGGATACCTCCTTGCCCAGGTCCTCGCGGATGACCTGGCGGACCTCTTGCATGCTGCTCTGCGGGGCCTGGCTGTGCAGCACCTTCAGCGTGCTGGTGTACTCCTCTGGCAGCAGGTAGTCCAGAGCACCCAGGTGCTGGCCCACCTTGATGAAGGTGCCCCGGTTGGCACAGCAGAGTTCACAGAGACGCCTGGCCGAGCGGAGATGCACCTGCAGGGAGACAGGCCGGGGCCAGAAAAGTGTGAGTGCAAGATGCTTCCTGAACCTTGCTCCCTTTTCCTGCACTCTCTGCTTGAACACCTTCATTTCCCACCCTGGTGTCCAGGGCAGGTGCACACATGTGTACACATACCTGTGCACACGTGCATGTGTGTGCACACACATACACCTCCTTCATCTTCTCCCTCAATGCCCTCCTTCTGTCTCCTGGTACACAGAACAGTCTATGTCAACCTCATACTGAGACCAGCCTTCACCGCTTTACAACAGCCTCTTCATCAGAACTCACCTGGGCTGGGTCCTACTCTCCTGGAAAGGCACAGCCAAAGCTTTTAACGGTATCTAATCTACTAACACTATTTAAGGGCACCCCCCTTAGACATACCAATAATACTTCATATTTATTTGGACCCCTGTCTATAAAATAGGATCACATGCACTGTATCCTCACAGCAGCTCAGGGAGGCAGGTGTTGGTATCTTTGAAGATGAGAAACTCAAGTGGTTTTGCTTCTATATTCATCAGGGATATTGGTCTGTAGTTAGGTTTAGAAAACACCCCTAACTAGGACTGTTGGGGGTGTTTTAAGGCAGCAAACATGTGCAGGGGTCTCTACTAATGGGGGCCGTAATTGTACTGGGGTATCAGGCACACAGAGCAAGCAGCTGGGCGGGTTTTAGGGACACAGCAGCCTTATATATATCCTGATGCTCGCTGTCCTTCCAGAGCTGGGAGGTGGCCCTTGCTGCCCGAGGCTACACATGCCCAGCCATTACCCAAGCCCAGCTGAGAGCCCACAGCTCTGAGAACTACAGCCTCTGAGCAAGGCGAGGCCAAGAGCAACCCAGAAGGCAAGGGGCCCAGCAATCCTAGCACTCTTCAGGGACCTGGAACCTGCCTCCACCAAGGAAGTCAACCAAGAGACACTGAATGTGAAGGATGCCAGCGTAATGAAGCCCTGTCTATAAAATAGGATCACATGCACTGTATCCTCACAGCAGCTCAGGGAGGCAGGTGTTGGTATCTTTGAAGATGAGAAACTCAAGTGGTTTTGCTTCTAAAGAAATAGCCTACTAAATGTCAAATGAAGGTTTAGAAAACACCCCTAACTAGGACTGTTGGGGGTGTTTTAAGGCAGCAAACATGTGCAGGGGTCTCTACTAATGGGGGCCGTAATTGTACTGGGGTATCAGGCACACAGAGCAAGCAGCTGGGCGGGTTTTAGGGACACAGCAGCCTTATATATATCCTGATGCTCGCTGTCCTTCCAGAGCTGGGAGGTGGCCCTTGCTGCCCGAGGCTACACATGCCCAGCCATTACCCAAGCCCAGCTGAGAGCCCACAGCTCTGAGAACTACAGCCTCTGAGCAAGGCGAGGCCAAGAGCAACCCAGAAGGCAAGGGGCCCAGCAATCCTAGCACTCTTCAGGGACCTGGAACCTGCCTCCACCAAGGAAGTCAACCAAGAGACACTGAATGTGAAGGATGCCAGCGTAATGAAGCACACGTGTGAAGAGTTAAATAACAGCTGGGAACAAAGAGGGAAGACGTGTTCAAAGATCCTATGCAATTAGTTGCCAAGTGAACCACAGAATACATCATTACTTTAGAAATTAAGAGAACACTGTGGCCCTGAACGCCCTTGCCCCAGCGGTCAGGGAGCCCATCAGCCCATCTTCCACCACAGCAGAGTACATGGCCCAGACTCCGGGTGCTCTTGGGGGTCCGTCCGCTTTTGGCCTGGCTGGACACCTTCGTCTCCCATAAACTCATTCTTGGAAACTCTATGTACATGACTCCACGCTCCTGAGCAGAGCCCTCCGGCTCAGTGCAGACACCTGGTCCAAGCTGAGCCAGGGAGTCTTCTTTCCCTGGTAGGAGGATGCAGCAAGAAGGAAATCAGTTCTAATAAAGAGACAGAGACCCCATGAGTCAGAGTTGAGGGATGAGAGAAATTGTTTTGTAAAGGTTGTTTTGCCTTAAGGCAAATGCACTCATCACAGACACACAGACTGTAGACAGACACTGAGAGGAAAAGTGAGAAATCACTCCCCAGGGAGGATGGCCATGCCATAAGCTCTCCTCCTCCCAGGATCACTGGACATGCATGCACACACACCTGGCATGATTTCGAAGCCACTGGGTTGGGACTTGAACCTCAGTCGGCCATGTGAGAGTCCAGCAACATAACCATGATGCCATCTGCTGGTCCCAGGAAATTAAAAAAAAAAAGAAAAAAAATTTTTTTGAGGCTACGAGGTAGTTAAGGTGCTGGATCCCACATGACTGACTCCTCAGCTTGAATTCTGGTCCTGGTGGCTTGAAAAAACCACTTTGGGTGTGTGTGCATGCATGGGTAGAATGGAGGAGATGGGACTGCAGCATGACCATGCCCCCTGAGGGGTGATTTCTCACTTTCCCTCTCTCTGTGTCTCTGACTCTCTCCGTTGAGTGTACACACCCTATGGCAAAAATCTAAAGAAAAGAAAAAGGTTTTTTAATTTGTCAGAGAATGTGTACACTCATCAGAGAAAGAGAAGAGGAAGACAGAGAGGGGGAAAGCAACCCCCAGAGGGGTAAGGTCATGCCAAAATCCCTTCTCCTCCATTTCTCCATCGTGTTGGGATTTGTGATACACACACACACACACACACACACGCACGCACGCACACGCACACACGCACTCAGCATGTTTTTCAATCCAGGGAGAGGACAAACCTTGTGATCAGCCATGTGGGATCCAGCTCCCTCAACCACCAGGCCACAGAGCTGGCCCTGACGTAAGACTTTGAAACTGGGCACTGAGCTGACCAGAGTCAGATAGTTGAAAGTCAAGCAGAGCTGGGCAGAGTCAGTGTCATGGCTGGCCAAATCCATACTCAAGCTGTGGTTCTGAGGAAGCAAGAAGGAAGGTAAACATGGTCCGACATGGAGTCAGACATCTCCCTGTGCTCAGTACAACAGCTCAGGCTATCATGGACAACCGTTTGCAACTTGTATAATTGGCCCTCAACGACAACCCAGCAGAGCTGAGAAAATGCACAATCAATAGCAGAATGAGAGACCGTTAGAACATCCCCAACCCATTAGTCCTAAGGTACTGGTGCAACCGGCACTCAGATCCAGTCATGCTCACTCCCCAGAGAGGGCTGCCCCAGCACCAATAGCTCACTTGCCCAAAGCACCTTTAATCCTATGTCAAAGCTGACCTGGGGGGCCAGCCCCATAATCCAACAGTTAAGAGAACTAGATCCTACATGGCCAATGGCAGTTCTAATCCCTGCTCTGGCATGGATGCACACATAGCCAAAACCCTGGAAGGAAGGAGAAGTGGAGAAGGGATTGCAGTATGACATTCCATTGCTGGGTTCTCTCTCTGGTGGGTATACACACCCTCTGGTAACAAATAAGCAAATAAATGCTGACCTGGCATCCACTGGTCAGTATCATGGTCAACACCAGGCAAAGTGTCTCTTAACATAAAGTGACCGGGGACCAGCAGTTAGTGTAATGGCTATGTCGCTGAACTCCCATGTAATCAACCACGGTTCAAATCCCAGACCCAGTGGCTTAAACTCATGCCAGGCGTGTGTGCGTGCATGCCCAAGATCCCGAGAGGAGAATGGAGAAGGGATTGCAGCGTGGCCATCCCCCTGGGGGGTGATTTCTCGCTTTCTGTCTCTCTGTCTCTCTCTCTGTCTTTCTGGCGAGCGCACACACCCTATAGCAAAAACCTCTCAAAAAAAAAAAAAAAAACATAAAGTGACAGTCACCTTTGAGACACTGTCTGGCAGTGCTGGGAGCCCTCTCTGATCACAAAAGCCCAGGAAGGTCAAAGTACCCCTGACTCACCATTTACCTGGCAAACCAGCTCTTGGGAATAGAGGCCATGCACGCTCTGTGTAACTCAGGGCAAGCTGCACAGGCACCGCTAATGTAGATTGATGACAACTGTGGATTTCGCACTCAGAAAACCACCATCCATGAAACTGAGTCAGCATCTACAGCAAATGGCACCCGCATTTCCACTAAAGAACCTCCAAGGTCTCCTTCAGCCAGATTCTAACTCATCGCTCTCTCTCTCTCACTCTCTCTCTCTCACACATACACACACACACACACACACACACACACGTGGAAATGAGAGAGTTGTAACTCACCAAAACATTAAACTATTAAGTCCAACAGACACAAATGATGTATAACTGCAGCCACTCTGATTTTTAGGGTCCTGGTGCAACTACAGCTCCTACAGGTTTACTGCCCTTTGGAAGCAGATCCCTTTCGGACTCTCAGGAAACCTCTAAGTGCAATTCCCCCTCTCAGCTGTCACTTGGCATCACAAAGACCAAAGCTTAAGGGCAGTGGAGAATCTCACAACTCTCTCCTCCCAGATCCTGGCCCCAGACACATGAGTGTGCTCAATGTAAAAAGCAAAGCTTCCAGAATCTCCTGGCCTCTTAAATCTAGTCCTTCAGATCACACATACCTTTTTTTTTTTTTTTTAAGAGTTTCTTGCCTTAGGGCACATGCACTCACAGAGAGGGAGAGAGACAGTGAGAGGGAAAATGAGAAATCACTCCCTTGGGGGGGTGGCCATTCCATGATTCCTTCTCCTCCATTCTCCTCCAATCTCCTCCTGGGATTGTGGGCATGCACACACACGCCCAGCACCGCATATGTCTTTGAGCAGCTACCCAGGCGTAAGCTCCAGGAGGAAAGTGCAGAACAATGAGTCAGTTTACAGCAATGCCATCCAATAGACCTTGTGCAATGATGGAGACGTTCAGCATCTAGACAGGTCTACATAGTGGCTGCTAGCTATGCAGCTAACACGGTTATCAGGCTCTTGAAATGGGGTGAGTGTGACTGAGGAACTGAGTTTGTAAATGCTTAAATTTCAAATAGTTTCACCTTAAACCACCACATGTAGCTAGCAGCTTCCATACTGTCCAACTCGGGCTTATAAATTAGCAACAGCTATAATAAATG